ATAAGTAATTAATCCATATTTTTTTATATCTTTTGTTGTTGATAACTTTTCAAGTTTTTTTTTTTTTTTTTTTTTTTTTTTTTTTTTTTTTTAATTTTTTGTATAAAGATGTTTTTTATAAATATAAAAATACATGTACATAATCCTTTTTTTTAATGGTTATTTTTTTGTGGTACATCATAATATTTACTATGTTATTGAAAATATATTAAAATGATGGTTAGGCAAAATATATTTAATGTTTCATTATCTATTGAGCTTATATGTTTAGAGTGGAAGTTAAAGACACAATATCTATATCTACTAAATATTGTTGTACTGTATTAGGAATATCCAAAATTAGTTGGAGTATACAACAATATTGATACAAAATTCAAGTTTTACATTTTTAGTTTCATACCTACTTTGTTTTAATTTCTAGCAAGTAAAATGATAGGGCAAAAAAAAAAAAAAAAAAAAAAAACAAAAAAAAATCGATGACATCATATTGAAGTGTGGAGGGAAATTTTTTTAATGAGAGCTTGACACATAAGACACTTTAAGAAATTGATTACATCAGCACATTTTGTTTTAGTAATAGTTAATAGATTTCTTTTTTCACAACTAATCGTCAAACAGAAATATATTTTTCCCTAATTTCCTTAAGATTTCTCATGTGATATGGTGAATTGGTCAGTGGTCAATGCGTTCGATTCACATGAATCTCATCGCCAGCTTCACAAAACAAGAAATGTGCAGTATAACCAAATCTTCTATCTATAAATAATATATAATAAATAAATCTAAAGTAATAACCGCTGACATCATCACTGTCCAAGTGTCAACTTTTCATACAAAAATTTTCCTCCAAAACTTTTGATGACGTCATTTTTTTCAAGATAAATAAAGGTTTGAAATTGGTAGATTAATTGCATATTTCCTAAAATATTTTATGATTGAATTGACTAACTTCATATTTTCCCGTGGATAAAAAATAATATAAAAATTAGTGGCTAGACTATTTCATTTGTTTAGAAACTTTTTGTCTCCTCCTAAAGCTACTCTACACATTATTTATAGTAATTGTATGTTTTTGGGATTTCCATTCTTTATTAGTTCTTCAAATTTTTTTTAATGAAAGATAAATCAGTAAATTAATGCTAACATCTTAGAAATAAGTATATAGTATAAAATATGATTATAATACTCCGTAAATTTTGTTGTAGACATGAAATTTCTTTTGTTTATACAAGTATTATTTTAATTTTTGTAGTTTGATTTATGTTTTGAGTGATAATATGACTTGAAAATATACACAATTATAAATTCTTTTTATTATATCCGTGCATCGCATGGGAGCTAATGTAGTAACTATAACTAAAATAGAAACCGCTGACATCATCTTTTTCCAAATCTGTACACATGTCACTTTTTCATGAAATTTTTTCCCGCCTAAATGCATTGATGACATCGTTTTAGTAATTTTAAAAAAAAAAATTTAAAGCTAAGCTACTCCATTTAAATTGCAAAAATTTTGAAAATTGGATTATGAATAATGACTACAACGACAAAATAAAATTCAAACACGGTGTGGATGCTTCTACAAATTATAGTACAATTGTAAAAATTTGCTAATCATAGGAAACTGAATTTTTTTTGACTGTCTTATTAATTAATGAGATCTTCCTGTCATTTTGTTTTCAAGTTACGTAAAAAGCATTTTCCTTTCTCTCATCTCTTTCTATTCTACAAATTATTTAGTATTTCAACTCTGCTTTCTAGTACATGTTACGGAGTATTTGTTAATATTATGTGCTACATGTTGATATATTTCTAATGATCTTTCTTCTCTTTTCATGATGATAGTGGAAATAATGTGTATGGTGTATCATATGTATGCCCTGAGTTGATATGCTTAACTCATGATTTTATGTCAAATGATTCAAAGTTAATTAAACACACATGGTCATCAACGTGGTGCTCAACATTAGCAATGATTTTAGACGAATTTTCTCTTAATGATTTATGAATTTTTTTTATTTTTTTTTTGAATGAGTAGTTGTTTGCATTGATCCTCAATATATGCTAAAGATGATATATTCGTCATCATTTATTTTGATAAAACCGTGTATTATTGCATGGGACTAACCTAGTATAGTAATATGGAGTAACTATAATTATTAATTGGATTTATCGGATATAATATCCAAATAAATGGCAACTTGGCTGCATAATAGAAGAGTGTTGTTTCAAGAGTCAAGAGAATACATGCAATCGATACAATGGGCGGTCTTGTTTATAGTTGGTGTGAGTTGTGTGATACAGTATGTTGGTCAAGATTCAGGGGTGATGATGACTGATGGACGTACGTTCAAGCACATACCCATGCATATGCAGATTTGATATGTCATCTAACCATAATATTTTGGTCCATTTAATTTTTCAGTCTTCAAAACACGTACTAAAACGAATTTTATTTATTTATTTTGACACAAACCGTAAGCTTAGCCATTTATTATATCATCAAGTTAGCAAGATCATTACAAGTAGGCTCCTATAATTCAGGAGGGAACTCTTCTAACCAAATATGACGCTCATTGAACTTGCTACTTAGCTTTGCTAAACTATGAGCCACTACATTGCCCGATCGCTTGATGAAAGAGAACGATAAGGATCGGCAATCGCTAGTGAGCCTTTTGATATCCTTTAGAACATTACCAAACTCGTCCGGTGGAGAAACACATTTCTTCAGATGGAGATACAATTTGATATTGTCCGTTTCGAGAACCAGATCATTGAAGCCTGCTTCCCTAATTCCCTTGCAGATAATATGCTCTGCCTCACAGCCATAGCTTCCCCTACATCCACCTCTAAATATAAAATTAGATACTTGTATTAATAAAATTTACAATGACACAGATATAACAAAATCTCACGTGACAATATTTTTTTTTTATTGATTAATATGGAGTAGTATTTTATGGTAAAAATTTTAAAAATTTGATTCATTTTTTTCAATTTGAAGCAAAAAATTAGGGACAGATAAAGTACATTTTTTTTACCCAACTGATCAATGGGATGGATTGGGCCAAAATTTTACGCTATTCTGTTCAAGTTACTGGACCGGACCGTACTTTGGGCCGCGGAGTTTTGGATTTTCAAGCCAAATTCGGGTCAGGCCTCAAAATATATCGGATATTATAGGCATTACGGGCCCTGTACTGTAATCGGGTCGGATTATTTTTTTTGTTCTTCCCTTCAATCAACATCAAACAACTAAACACCGCGCAAAAGAGTAACTATCGTTGACTTTTTTTGGCCGGGTTCCCGAAGATCATTTCAGCAGTAATATTTCATCTCAACCCTGAAATATTCAGGTATCAAATTCCCAAATTTCTACTAACTTTTTGTATTTTAATCTGAATCATCAGCGGAATTTCGCATTTTTATTATTGAACTTGGATGATTTTAATTATTTCTTTAGATACTCCTATACTCCTATTTAGTTCAATATTAATCGAATTATAAGCGTTTTAATGAATGAAATCATTGATTTAGTCCAATTAGAAGAATTGGGTTTTGTTTGGATTTGTTATATTTCTTTTTGAGTAAGAGAATTATGCTGAGACTCAATTGATTAATTTCTGCTTTCTTGAAAATTAGCTTATGAAATTAACATTTTGTGCATCATTTTATGCAATTATAGAGCTAATTGAACTTGGAAGTATTTGTAAGTTTTCACTATTGGATAGATTCTTTCTTGGGATTGTGAGAAGCAGAAATTCCATTGTTAAGGACAGCATAGTGTGATTGTTTTAAGTGTAGGTTGTGTAAGTTGGTGGGAGGCAATGAAACTCTTTGATGCACATTGTCACCTTCAAGACCCGAGAATTTTAAGCCTCGCCCCACGATTAATCAATTCGTCTCTTGAATCCGGCATTGATTATTTTGTGGTTAATGGGGTTTCGGAAAAGGGCTGGGATTTATTCAAGCAGATGAGTGAGTCATATCCATCTGTTGTTCCTTCTTTTGGTGTTCATCCGTGGTTTGTTCCTGAGAGGACGGCAGACTGGTTTACCGTTTTAAGACAGTATTTTGAGTCAACACCCTGTGCAGCTGTTGGGGAGATTGGTCTAGATAAAGGGTTCAGAGGGAAAGAGATTGATTTTGATGTTCAGGTTGAAGTGTTCAAGAAACAGCTAGAATTAGCGAAACAGTTGAAAAGGCCGGCTTCTGTTCATTGTGTTTGTGCCTTTGGTGAGATTCTTGATGTGATGAAGGCAATTGGGCCGTTTCCTGATGGAGTTATTTTTCACTCCTACTTAGGATCAGCTGAGATGGTTTCTGAATTAGCAAGGCTTGGTGCTTATTTTTCTTTCTCTGGTCATCTTATGCCAATGGAATCACAAAAGGCAAGGAAAATGCTGAAAGCAGTGCCTTCTGATAGAATACTGCTCGAGACTGATGCCCCTGATGCCCTGCCTAAGTTTAATTTGGGTGATTTATATGTGGTGGAAGGTGATCCTTCCCTTCCTCCTGAACTTCAGACACTAGAAGAGAATCCGCATTTAAGGGATAACAGTGACATGTCAGAAGCTGATTAAAGAAGCACACGAATTGCCAAAAGGAATGTTGAATCATCCAGCTAATATTCATAATGTACTGACCTATGTGGCTTCTCTGCTTGAGATAAGTAAAGAAGAACTTGCAGAAACAAGCTACTCAAATGCAGTTCGCCTGTTCTCTTATGAAGGATCTAAAGTACTGTAAGAAGGTTAGTGCGTTTTAGTCTGTGTTCTTTAAATAATGTTCTTTCTGTGAACAAATGATGCAAAAACAAAACATAAATCAGGGTAATCATCGAAATATACTTGTGATTTATTTTAGTCTAGCAGAACCGGAAGACTTTAAATTACTCTGTTGATTGAAATCTCTGATGAAACTTCTGCATTTCCTTCAAAATATGCTTCTCATTTCTCCCAGTTGATTGATATTTTGCAGTCATATTCTTATATTTCAGGTTAAGAAACTGAATCGGTCCTTTAACCTTCACAATAATTAAATAATGATCAAATGAACCAATGCATTTTTACATTCCTCTTAATCTTCCTAAAATGCCTTCAAATGAAGAAGGTTGTTTAAATACTACACCTCTACAGTTAAATTTTAGAGCTGAATAGAACCTGTTCCCAGTGACTGCTGTACTTCCTTCCTCTGCATCACTTCTATGTACAACCGTAACTGTTCATAGCAACACTAGTGGCAAGTCCCTGTTTTCTTGCTCTCATAGGTTATTTCAGAATCATATGGACTAAAAAAACTGAAACTTTAATCATATAAATAGTTCACAATGATGTTCAACTATTAGAAGCTTCAAGTAGTAGCGTTGTACTATCGAGGGTAGATTTCTGTCATAGAAACCTCATTTATTGAACATGCAGACATTCTACTAGTAGATTGACCTGAGGTTCCTTGAGAGGTCGCATTAGATATTGTATGGCTTCGAGTGAAAAAAGCTGGTTGTGAAGGCACCTGGAGAGAAACAGAAGAGCTACTTAGCATAAGCTCAACCGAAGACATAGTAGGTCTGTCTGCCATGTTATGCTGGACACACAGCAAACCAATGTGTATGCATCTCAATATTTCTGTACTAAATGCAGGAAATAATGTAGGATCAACAAGATTCCAAGCTTTCCCTTCTAGCCAATTTTTCCATGCCTGTGACACCGAAAATATACTGTTAGCTTACTTATCTTGTGTCATTAATCAATGCCTGTATCACCTGAATGCCAAAAAAATAACCATGTCCACTTACAAAAGTAAGCAGATTTTCGGGATTTTCTCCAATTTGGAAAGAGCTAATCCTTTGACCGCTTACAATCTCTAGGATAAGTACACCGAAACTGAAGACATCGGACTTCATTGAGACATGACCATGAAGCACATACTCAGGTGCCATATATCCGCTGCCAAAAAAAAACAAAGTGTCATGTCTCAAAGTTGAAAATGGATAACAAAATCGATCATATTTGCATATAGATATTATTATAGTTATACTCACTAGGTTCCAACAATCCTGCTTGCTACTGCTTGAGTCTGGTCAATGTTAAACAACCTTGCCATACCAAAATCTGCAATCTTTGGGTTAAATTCTACATCTAGTAGAACATTACCAGCTTTAAGGTCACGATGAATTATTCGCAGTCTAGAGTCTTCATGAAGGTAAAGAAGCCCTCTTGCAACGCCGTTAATGACTTTGTAACGTGTTTCCCATGGCATAGATTTACCTTGCATAGGTTCTGCATGTTAGAAATGTCAGATAATTATGAGCAAAACATGCAGGAATGATCGGTACAAATTTTTTCCTACTAACCAAATAGGAAGTTGTCAAGGCTTTTGTTGGTCACAAACTCGTAAATTAGAAGCATTTCATCTTCTTCCAAGCAGAATCCTAGAAGCCTCACTAGATTCCTATGCTGAAGCTTAGCTAATATCAGAATTTCATTCTTGAACTGTAAATCTCCTTGAACTGAATTCCTTGCTAGCCTCTTTACTGCTATTTCTTGGTGATCAGGTAGCTTTCCCTTAAACAGAGAAGATGATTAATTAACTTTGGTTCAGAATTGATTATTTGATAGATTTTAGGAACTGATGTTACCTTATAAACAGTACCAAATCCACCTTCTCCAAGATAATTATTATCAGAAAAATCATCTGTTGCAACCTTGATGGTTCCAATACTGTATTGTAAGGACTGGAGAGTTTCAATTTCTTCTTCTATTAACAGACACATATATAAAAGGTTAAAGTTAAACGACCTAATTAAAAACAATTAAGTCAACAAAACCAAAATATATTACTCTGTAAAATTGAGAGAACGATGAAAATGGGCTTACTGTTAATTTTTGTAGTTGACCTTTTTAGCTTCTTTCTCCTTAGTAGGAAACTGATTGAGGCTATGATTATGATGAGTACTAATGACCCAAGGATTGGGAGAACGATGAAAATGGTGCTATAAGACCTTTTTCTCTCTTCAACTATCAGGAGAAATATATTAAATCCATGTTATTTGTTCAATATCATATGAGCCCCAGAAATCTGAAGAGATTAAGAACCTAAAATGAAAATAACTGGAATAATACAACAGTTGATCAAAATTTTTGCGTATCCTGTACCTTTTGCAGTAGTACTTCTGTTTGATACAGATGATGGTGGTAGCAGTGGGGGTGGTGATGACGGAGGACCTACATCAGTTACATTACCATAAAAACTGTAGATTTCATACCGAAGATTGCAGCTGGGCGTTATCAATCTTGCTCCTGCAGCTGTAAATGTAGGCGTAACAAACCACTTTGGAAAGAAACTGAAAAGACCCTGTATACACACGACACAATCATGGCTAGACAAATCAGGAGAACACTGCACAAGACCATACATCGTTTTATTTGTACCACTAAGATTAGTCTGTCCAGCAGCAAATTTCAGCTCAGAATTTCCCAAAGAAGCTTGATTTTGCAAGTTCTTCATTAAGGCAGTGAGTGTATTGTTGAACCCTATGATATCAGAAACATTCTTATTATTCCATAGACCCCACAACGGCCTATCTCTTACAACGTGAGAAGTAGCGTTGTTTGAATAAAAGATTATGCAGGGATCGGAGTACCCAAATGCCTGTGTTTGATTCGGACAGAACAATGGGAGACTGGCAGCCGAGTTACGCATACAAAGGCGACAATTATTCACCGGGACATCTCCCCTACAGAGGACCATAGCTTCGACTTTGTCGGGTTTTTGCCCCGTGGTGAGGTTGTAGTAGCCGTTTGTCACTCGAGTGGTTGAAAGAGAGTTGAGGACTGTTTTGAGATTGGATTGGTAAGTGCTGTTAGGGGTGTAGTAACTGGTGTTTCCGCATCTGCTGTGGAGGAATTGGTACTGGGCAGATATTTTGGGAATCAATGAAATGAAGACGAATTGAAGGACTAATAATGTTAGAAAATCCATAGTGTAAAATTAGTGTAAGCAAGAGAGTAGAGATTACCAAAGTGACCAAGAATATGAAGAGTTTTGGATTGATTAGGGAAATATATATGGAAACTTTATCGAATTATATTTTCATACTTTAATTATTCTATGTGCTCAACTGCTCCTATTTCCTGTTTAAATATGCGTCTGCTAAGTGTTATGAGTCAATAGAGGCTGCTATCTTCAGTTTACTATTAGCATGTAGGGCCATGCATTCTCATTCAATGTTCGTGATTTGTGTTAATACTCCGCATTTGCTGTTTTTGCATAACATGTCTATTATAGAAATGGGTGTACCCATTTACCTTATTTTTCTAATATGTATGTACTCCATTGTCTTTTGATTAAAATAGACTAAGGTTGTATTCTGAAATTATTAAAAGAAGCTGTAGGAATAAAATAAATTTCAGCAACAAGTTGATGCAAGTAACTTTTTATTAAAAACATGTAGTCAAAGAATGAAAACAGCCAAGTGTAAGAAGACCCACAGGATTGCAAATGCAAGTTGAGTAAAGACGCTACGTGGTCTTTACTTTGAAGACATGCATTGAATCTAGAACTAGAAAACAATTCTTTGCTTTGTGGTCCAATTGGAACCGGGCTAAAGATAATTTCATAGCCCAGAAAAGTCCAATTCTAATAATTTGACCGTTTATTCCCTTGGTTTTTTTGAAGTGCTATCTGGGGTATGGTTCTGTAATGGTGACCTCATTAACGGAGTATCTTCTTGTTCTGCTGCTTGATTCAGTTGTAGTGTTCTCTTGGGAAGGGCCATTTGATTGAGAGATGCTCTCTACGAAGAATGCAGGTTGTAATGGCACTTGAAGGGTGAGAGACTGTCTACTTAGCATAAGATCAATCGACGACATCGCTGGCCTGTCTACAGGGTTCTCTTGAACACACAATAAACCAATGTGGATGCATCTCAGTATGTCTGTGCTGAAACCAGCTGATAATGTAGTATCCACTACATTCCAAGGCGTGCCATCTACCCAATTCCTCCAAGCCTATAAAAAGCAATTATAATTATGTAAATATATTTGTAACTATTGCATTTAGAAATTACTCTTCCACTCTAGAAACATTAGTCACTTGTACTATAAACAAACAAACTTACATAGCTAAGAAGACTTTCAGGATTCTCTCCGTTTAAGAATGAACTAATCCTTTGTCCACTTACAATCTCTAGGACGAGTACACCAAAGCTAAAGACATCGGTCTTCATTGATACTTGTCCATGGAGCACATACTCAGGTGACATATATCCACTGAACACAAGTATTATATCTCAAAAATCAACTGTGATAAGAACAGAATGAAATGCAACCTGAATTCAGGTGGAAGTTTAGGACACTTACTAGGTACCAACAATTCTGCTTGCCAATGTCTGAGTTTGATCAATGTTAAACAACCTAGCCATACCAAAATCTGCAATCTTAGGATTAAATTCTTCATCTAAAAGTACATTCCCTGCTTTAAGGTCACGATGGATGATTCGTGTTCTTGACTCTTCATGAAGGTAGAGGAGCCCTCTGGCAATGCCATAGATGATTTTATAGCGTGTTTCCCACCTCATAGTCTCACGCTGTACAGGATCTACCGAAAAGAGTACAAATTCTAGAATTTTAGATGTACTGTTATAGTTAGGTAAAGATCATACACGAGTTATATTAAGTTTTTAAGTATTTTTTTTGCTTACTGAATATAAAGTAATCGAGGCTTCTATTCGCAACAAACTCATAAATGAGAAGCATTTCTTCTTCTTGCAGGCAAAATCCTAGTAGCCTGACCAAGTTCTTGTGTTGGAGTATGGCCAATATCAAAATTTCGTTTTTGAACTGTAAATCTCCGTGTGCAGAATTCTTTGATAGCCTTTTCACTGCTAGCTCTTGTCCATCAGAAAGCACACCCTGAAATCGTAATTAAGAAAACACAATTAAATCACAATTTTATTATTTTTTTTTCTTAGCAATCTTAAGTTCTTAACCAAGATATATCTGACAAATTTATCAGTAAGTTGGATTAACAATTACCTTATAAACGACGCCAAATCCACCTTCTCCGAGCTTATTTTCCTCTGAAAAATCCCCTGTTGCCTGTTTGATAGTCCCCAAACTGAATTGCAAAGACTGAAGGGTCTCAATTTCATCTTCTGCACTTATAATAAATGGATATGATTAGGTACATTATCTTGAAACTGTACTTATAGGTACATTGCTCATAATGAGGAGCTTCTTATTAGATTTCAGAGCTTACTGTTGAATTTCAGCATCCAGGACTTTCTCATCTTCTTCTTCCTTAATGTGATGCAGAGGACAACAGCAACAATCATTATCGTTGTGCCAACAATTGGGACAGCAATAACGCTAGGATTAAGAGATTTCTTTCTTCTCCTAACTACAAAAAAAGAATTTTATTCTATAGAAAATCAGAGATAATATCCCATGTCAGAAGAACACCATAGATAACTACACAATATACCAAGTCAAGCAGAGAAGATAATCTAAATTGTCAAAATTAGACCTGCCCCATAATCAATTTTCCACAAATGACTCTAATCAAACTAGCCAAAATCAAAGGACTTGTTTGCTACCTCAACTCAATACCGACCAACAGTCCAACAAACACTTTTAGAACGCAAAAAATACAATTTTTAATATATACCTGCAGATGTTGAAGTGTCATTGTTTGGTGGCGAGGGAGGTCCTGGTGACGGTGGCAGTGGAGGCGGAGTTAGATTAGGCACATTCCCAGTAAAATTGAAGAGCTCATACTGAACAAAGCAGCTCGGTATGACAATTGTTACCCCTGAAGCTGTATAAGAAGGTTGAATACAACAAGTTGGGAGAACTGAAAGAGACCCTTGAATGCACTGTATACAGGCCAGCCTAGACAAATCCGGAGTACACTGCACAAGCCCATATAACTTCTGACCTCCACCTCCGGTAAGACTAACTTCTCCAGTCGCATATTTCAGCTCAGAATTACCTGAAGCAGCTCGATTCTGCAACGAACTCATTAGAGAATAGAGTGTTTGGTTGAACCCAGTAACACCGGTCACATTATCACTAGTTGTCAGATACCACTGTGGGTCATTCTGCACGATACCATATATAGCACGATTTGATACAAATATTTTGCAGTACTGACTGTAACCAAATGCCTCTTTTTGGTTAGGACAAGTATGAGGGATTGAACTAGCAGAGTCTCTTACACAAACCCGGCATGTTCCTACAGGAACATCGCCTCTGCATATGACTAAAGAGTTTACTCTATCTGGACCTTGTCCTACAGTGAAGTTGTAGAAACCATAGGTGATTCGAGTGTCCGTAGCAAGGGAGTTTAGGACTGCTCTAAGGTTGGATTGGTAAGTGCTGTTGGGTGCATAAGTAGCGTCGCCACACCAACTGTGGCGAAATGAAAATTGAGCTGAAGTTAATTCTGGAATCCTTAGAGCGAGATTGAAACAAACTAACAAGTAAAATATGTTTGATGACTCCATTTCTTTGAGTTGTAAAAGAATAGAGATTATGAACAAAAGAAAGGAGGAGTTGGTACAATATAATAAGTTTAATAAAAAAAAGTTAATTTTGCTATAACTTGACTATTATTAGTACAATTGTTTAAAGCTTAACTTTGTAAATCAATATATGGCAATATTTTAGGTATCATTCAATATTTTATTATGTATCTCCAATCAGTAGGGCCGGGGTTGCTTTGTCAAGTGGGAAATGAAGCTGGATTTTTCCTTTTTTTATATATATATATATATTTATAATGTTGATGATTATTGTCTCTGAAAAAACACCAGTAAGGTTCCTCATTCGCTCTAGGAAGATCGATTTAATCAATTACTACGTAATCATAATATCTAAACATACAGGCTCACCGATCTCAAAGACAATTATTGACAAACTAAATAATGCGTGCAAGCTTCAACTTTTTGTGACTAATGCCTAGTGGGACAGGGGCTGCTGCTTTATCAAGTCGGAAAATTAATTTGGCAAAATATATTAATTTTCTGATTATACTTGTTGGCAACTTGGTTGTATTATTAATCGATTATTTGAGTATTTTGAATTTAGAAATGAAACAATGGGTAAGTACTAACCATGCCAAATGTTTATTTCACACAGTCTTCTTTACTTTCTTCTTTTCACTAGCAAAGTTTTTCTTTATCTAGTTTTCTTCAGGTATGAACTCTAAAATACGCGGTATGCATTTGTATTATACACACTTTTCTTAATTTCAACATTTTAGTTTGTAATATTGTATATATGATCCTCCCTCATTTGTTGAAGGACAGAAGAGGGAGTTGAGGCTTTCGAATGGGAATGTCTAAAGGATTTTATATTTGCATTCTCATCCACTTTTATTTCATTTCCATCGCGATTTTCCAACCAAATTTCTTAACTCATTCGTGCGAAGACACTTATGGTAACTACACAAACACTAGCACATACCATGCCAATCTCAATACCTTGTTCAATTCGATATTATCCAACCCTCAAATCAACTCGCGCTACTATAATATTTCAGTTGGCAAGGAACCTGATCGAGTTTATGGGGAAGCGCTATGTGGATGTGATATGACTTTCCAAGATTGTCATAGATGTCTCAATAACTCAATAAGTTTGCTTCCACAGCTCTGTCAACCACAGAAGGAAGCTTATGGGTGGTACGACGACTGTATGCTAATTTATGCTAATCGAGCAGATGCATTATGGACTTTCATCAGTACAACACAACCTTCCTACTTTTTAATGAACCAAGATTTTGTGAGTGATAATGATGTTAAAGCGTTTAGTCAAGTGCTAGGATCATTATTGAACAGGATTCAAAAGGAAGCTGCACTGGGTGGTTCTCAGCTTAAGTATGCTACCGGAAATGGCACTTATGGAAGCTTACAGAATGTTTATGCACTTGCTCAATGTGATCCCGATTTGTCATATCAAAGTTGCTTTAATTGTCTTGGGGATTGTATTAATAATGTACTTCCTAGTTGTTGCAATAACACCATAGGAGCACGGGTTGTTGGACCTAAGTGCAATATAAGATACGAGCAGTATCTGTTTTACAGCGCTAGCATTACTAGTCCTCCATCTTCTCCACCGCTGACAGCACCATCTTCTCCATCGCCGACAGCACCATCTCCTCCATCATCAGGTAAATGCGAAATTTTAGAAGTTTTTATTTTTGAACATTTGCTAAACTCTGTACTAATGGCATGTTAATGGTAGTAGATTAATATTTAGTTGTCAAAAATGGGTTATGAAATGATCCCTTGAGGTTGTGAGAAGTTGTTGCATTGATGATATAAAAGTAGGTAAACAACACAAGTAGCCGAATAAAAAATCCTTGTTCTTTTAGAGATGTTTTTATGAAAGTTCACCAATAATGGGTTGCTCCATTAATTACGATATTGAGATAAGTGCATATATAAATACATTGGACTGATCATATGATAGTATTAATTAAGCTTAGATTCAATAATTAGATCACATTATTAATAAAGACTTATTAGATTGAATAAACATGTTGTGATCAACATGGCCGTGTTACGTTCAATTTATTAATATGACTAAACTATATTCCGCATTGATACAAGTGCATTCTTGTTGGCATATGTAGCTTTACCGTAACTCTGCATCAGAAATTACTGAATATTCGATGTTTCCATGGAATAAAATTAGTCATAAAAGAACTTAATCGTGATCTGTATGTTTCATAATCTTTTAAAGTACTATTACAACTTGTACGTGGTACTTAAGTTACATTTCAACTTCATCATCTGCAGGAAGTGGAAGCAATACTTCAACAATTGCCGTACTTATCATAGTTCCAACAGTCGTGTTAATTGCTCTTGCAGTAGGCTTCATTTACTTGTGTCGACGAAGAAAGATTAGGAAAAATATTGAAAGTTTAAGTAAGCAAAAGAATGTCTTCTCTGTTTATAATCATCTATTCTGAATCTTGACTAGGACGATAATGATGTATATCTTGCTATTGTAATGCTAATCCTCTGATTTTCTTAACTACGTACGATTTATTAGATAATGAAAATAATGAAGGAAGCAGAAGTTATATGTCTCTACAATATGGTTTCGACACCATTAGAGTGGCAACAGATAAATTCTCAGATGCTAATAAACTTGGTCGAGGTGGATTTGGTATCGTTTACAAGGTACTTATAACATTATAAGCTATTGAGATAAAAAACTAAGTATTAAGTACGTAGTATTAGTATTATTTGAGTAGTTTTTATAGAATGTAATAGATTACTAATTTATACCTTAGTTAAGTTTATGGATCATTAAGCTATATGTATATGTTTGCTAAAACCAGGGAAAGTTACCAAATGGACAAGAAGTCGCAGTGAAGAGACTCTCAAGAGATTCTGGACAAGGTGACGGCGAGTTTAAAACTGAAGTTATGTTAGTGGCTAAGCTTCAACACAGGAATCTTGTTAGGCTCCTTGGCTTCTGCTTAGAAAAAGAAGAAAGAATACTCATTTATGAGTTTGTTCCTAACGCTAGCCTCGATCACTTCTTGTTTGGTATGCTTTGATTTGTTTTTAAAGCATCAAATATGATATGATGTACATGAAATTATGAAACATGAATTGAACTTTATGCTAACTCCATGAGTATGGTATCATTTGTGTGGTGTAGATATAAGCATGCGATCTGTCTTAGATTGGCAAACCCGCTACAAGATTATAATTGGCATTGCTCGAGGAATCCTGTACCTTCATGAAGATTCCAGACTACGAATTATCCATCGTGATCTTAAAGCCAGCAACATTCTTCTAGATGCAGATATGACTCCTAAGATTGCAGATTTTGGGATGGCGAGGTTATTTGGAGTTGACCAAACCCGGGGGGATACCAACAGAATTGTTGGTACCTAGTAAGTCTACTACCAAATTAAACTAATTAGGACAGTTTAATTTCCTAGACTAATGTGATAATGTTTATGGACATCTAAAAAAGGACATGAAACAATTAATTTTGGACAGAGCAGTTCGTAATAAACAGATTATAAAATCATCCTTTGCTTTGATATCACATAGATTTGATCATATGAATGAGATAATCATGATACGTGTGAGAGCCTAATGTATGTAATTAATCTCCTTTATGCAGTGGATATATGGCACCAGAATATGTATTCCATGGATTCTTCTCGGTAAAATCAGATGTTTACAGCTTCGGCATACTAGTCCTAGAAGTTATCACAGGTCGAAAGAATTCTGGTTTTCAAAGTGAGGAATACACAGAGGATCTAGTAAGCTTTGTAAGTGGTCAAGAAGAAATACATCATCTTTGACAATGTCTTTAGTTTTATTCACTTTTAAGGCAAATTTCTATGTTGCTTACTCTGTAATAATGTCTTGCAACTAACCTATGTTGCGTACATGATGTCTTGCACAGGTATGGAGAAATTGGAGAGAAGGTACAGCAATATCTGTCATTGATCCAATATTATCAACGGCGTCTAAAACTGATATAATTAGATGCATACACAATGGGCTTGTTATGTGTTCAAGAAAGTGTGGATGACCGTCCAACTATGTCTTCTGCCGTGTTGATGCTCAGTAGCCGATCACTCTCTTTGCCGGTTCCTTCTAATCCTTCATTCATTAGTGTTAATGCGAGACAATCAGAGAATATGTCAATTAATGAAATTTCAATTAGTGATCTCCATCCACGTTAAAATCGATTGTTCGTGAAGGTCGCAGTTCTTTGTTGTCTCTTGTGTTCGATAAAAGTTTAGATTAGGATGATAGAGTAAATATTTGTTCTATCTAGTATTTTGTAAACACTCATACAATCGAGATCAATATAAGGTGAACCGGCCAACATCAGTGAAGCAATTCATGATCGTGCAATGAAAAACTTGGCTTGCATTTCCATGAATCGACCAACTTTAAATGAACTTGTTGGTCTTTTGAGCACAAATAACGTTAGAACAAGTTCGTTCTACATTAGCAAGTTTTGTGAACTACTCAAATCAACTGATTTTGGTAAAATTTATTCCTTAAGAGAAAAATTAGTGAAGTTGAAGAGGTCATATTATGAGATCTAAGTCGTTCAAGGTCTGCTCGATCTTTCTCTTAAAAAAAAAACCATTGTTTCCGTATTCGTTTTAGGAAGCCCCCCCCCCCCCCAAACAAACGTCTACTCGAACTTTCTCTTAAAATTCGTTCGTTCTAGGAAGGTAGCCCCATAATTTCACAATAGACTCTACAATTGACTAATAATGGTGTCATTTACTTTATAATGGTGCGCTACCTTGTCGCTAGTACCTAGTGGGACAAGGGCTGCTGCTTTATCAAGTGGGAAACCAAATTTGGCGTAATGTATCATTTGAATTTAAAAATTATACAATGAGAGTACCAACCATGCCAAAAGACTGTTTTCCACACTCTCCCATCTTTAATTTCTTCTCATAGATTTTTTCTTTTCTAGTTTTCTTCAAGTATGAACTCAACAACACGGTTGTTATAATATTCTTATTATAATACACACTCTTCTCAATTTCGCCATTGTAGCTTGTACATGATCTCTCTTACGTCAAAGCACAAAAGAGGGAGCCGAGATATAAAAATGAGAATGTCAAGAGTTCTTTTTATTTTGATACTAATTCATTTTTACTTCATCTCCATTGCAATTTGCCAACTAAATTTCATAGCTCATTCATGCATAGACACTTATGGTAACTATACAAACAATAGCACATACCACGCCAATCTCAACACCTTCTTCACTTCGATATCATCCAACACTCAAATAAATTCGCGCTACTATAACTTTTCAGTTGGCAAGGTCCCTGATCGAGTATATGGGGACGCGCTATGTGGAAGTGATATGTCCTTCCAAGATTGTTATACATGCCTCAATAACTCAGTAACTCTGCTTCCACAGCTCTGCCCTATGCAAAAGGAAGCTTCTGGGTGGTACGACAATTGTATGCTACGCTATGCAACTCGTTCATCTGCATTATCGAGCATGAGCACAAGACAACATGCCTACTATTTAAAATTCCCGGCTAGTGCTGATAATAACGCTAAAGACTTTGATGAGGTGCTAGGATCACTATTGAACAAGATTCAAAATGAAGCTGCTTCGGGTGATTCTAAACTTAAGTATGCAACCGGAAGTGGTACTTATGGAAGCTTGAAGAATGTTTATGCAGCTGCTCAATGTTCTCCGGATTTGTCATATCGAATCTGTTTTAATTGTCTTGGTGACTGTATTAATAATGTGCTTCCTTTTTGTTGCAATAATAGCTCAGGAGCACGGGTTGTTGGATCTAATTGCGAAATAAGATACGAGCAGTATCTGTTTTACACCATTACTAGTCCTCCTCCTCCACCGTCGACAGCACCATCTCCTCCACCATCAGGTAAATGCGAAATACTACAAGTTTTTACTTTCAAAAATCAGAATTCTACATTATAAGTTGGATTGCTAAACTATGTGCTTTTAAAGGGATATTCAGTTAGTAGATTAATATATATCTAGTTGTCAAACATGGGTTATGAAATCAATTAAACTCTAGCTATTGGTTCTATTATATTATTTAAGCTTATCTTATTAGATATTTATTTGTTGCTTTCAAAGAATTAACAATTAATTTAAGAACCTTGAGCATGTGTCCTGGAAAGTGGTCAGTGGACAATAAATCAATAATGAATAGTACATATCATAAGTAGTCCTACATGCCATTTAATAAATCAATGATCACAGCGATTTCTTGTCCATTTTACTTTTAGGAAAGTTTAGGAAGCTCACCGATTAGTCCTACATGCCATTAATTAAGATGTTGAGATAAGTGCGTATAATATTAAGGATAATTTGCAAATTACCACCCAAAAATAGTATCAATTTCTAAATAACCACCCAATTAAAATTTTATTTTAAATTACCACCCATTAAATTAAAAAAACGCTCAGATTACCACCCATTTTGTTTTTCCGGTGGAATTTTCGTCAGTGGGCCCCACTTTTTTTATTTTTTTCCTTTTTTTTCTTCTATTTTCTGGCTTTCTCACTCTCTCTCCCCGATTTTTCACTCTTCTTCTTCCTACCTTCTTTCTTTCTTCATGCTCAAATTAAACATAAGTTTTATTTTAGATTTTCACACATTTTTCACCCAATTAAAATTTTATTTTAAATTACCATTACTAGAAATTTAGATTTTCTCCTAAAATTACTTCCACTCAAAAACTTCATCTTCTTCGATAATTATTCATTCTGCAGAAAAAAAAATTCAGCCATGGCATCTCTACTAGCAAACACCATCTCTCGTTTCACTCTCCAACCCTCTTGCGACCCACCATCATCGACCTTAATTCATCACAATCCCAATACCCTAAAACCCAGATTCCCAAATCTCACAAAAAATCAGAGCTGAAATTGGGTACGATTCAAGCGCAACAAATACTACTGAACCAGGTAATAAATCTATTTCTCCTGCTTTAATTCCTAAAATTGAAGATGACCCACTTCAGAGATTCCTTAAAAGGGAGTATAAATGGGGTTTTAGTGAAAAAATTGATTCTTTTACGATTCCAAAAGGGTTATCTGAAGAAACATTTAAGTTAATTTCTGCCCTAAAGGAAGAACCTGATTGGATGCTTGAGTTTCGATTGAGTTCATATCGTAAATTTTTGAAGATGGTTGAACCGAAATGGTCAGATAATCGATACCCACCAATTAATTTTCAGGATTTATGTTATTATTCTGCACCTAAGAAAAAACCCACTTTGAATAGCTTTGATAAATTGGGTGTGCCTTTGAATGAAAGGAATCGTTTAGCTAATGTTAGTGGTAGAAATGTGGATGTTGATGTTGTTCTTGATAGTGTTTCGATTGCGACTACACATAGGAAGACATTAGAGAAATCGGGGGTGATCTTTTGCTCGATTTCGGAGGCGATAAGGGAGTATCCTGATTTAGTTAAGAAGTATTTGGGGAGGGTTGTGCCTTGTGATGATAATTATGTTTAATTTGAGCATGAAGACAGAAAGAAGGTAGGAAGAAGAAGAGTGAAAAATCGGGGAGAGAGAGTGAGAAAGCCAGAAAAATAGAAGAAAAAAAAGGAAAAAAATAAAAAAAGTGGGGCCCACTGACGGAAATTCCACCGGAAAAACAAAATGGGTGGTAATCTGAGCGCTTTTTTAATTTAATGGGTGGTAATTTAAAATAAAATTTTAATAAGGTGGTTATTTAGAAATTGATACTATTTTTGGGTGGTAATTTGCAAATTATCCTAATATTAAGCTTTGATAGAATAATTAATTAGAACACGTCAATATAAACTTGTTAGATAAAGTGAGGGGTAGCTTAGTTGGTTAGAGCAAGCTTCTCTCCCGATTCTAAGAGATTTTGGTATTGATTCTCATCACACGTCCTTGTGGCTTTCTGAGCGCCAAAAATATATGTACCTATTAGATGGAATTAACGAGCACAGAACTGAACCAGATGGCAGCACGCCCTTATGGTTTAGAGTTTAGTTCATTTTCACCCAAAATAAAAAAAAAAATAATAAAAAAAAAAAAAAAAAAGCACAGAACTAAGTGAAACTCCACTGTTTCCATGGGAAAAAAATTGCCCTTAGTGTATGGACTTATTTGTGATACGCTTTTACAGTACCATTATTATAAATTGTATTTCAGCTACTTGTCAACTTCATCATCTTCAGGAAATGGAAGCAACATGGCAATAACCGCCGCACTTATCATAGTTCCAATGGTTGTATTAATTGCTGTTGCAGTAGGCTTCATTTACTTGTATCGAAGAAGAAAGACAAGGAAAAATGTTGAAAGTTTAAGTAAGCAAAAGAATGTCATCTATTTTTATAATTATTTATGATATATATCTTGATATAATGATGCTAATCCTTGGTTTTCTTAACCTTTGATCAATTAAGATGATGAAAATGATGATGAAACCAGAAGTTATATGTCTCTACAATATAGTTTTGACACCATTAGAGTGGCAACAGATAACTTCTCAGATGCTAATAAACTTGGTCGAGGTGGATTTGGTTTTGTTTATAAGGTACTTATAACATTGTAAGCTTAAGATCGAAAAACTAAGTATTATAAAAATTGCAACATTTTGCCCAAAAGCTCTCACATATTTGGTCAAAGTGTTGCAATTATTTTAAAGCGGGGGAAGTTTTATTTGACTAAATTTTGTAGAATGGGGCATAAGTTATATGTGTATATTTGCTTAAACCAGGGAAAGTTATCAAATGGACAAGAAATCGCTGTGAAGAGACTGTCAAGGGATTCTGGACAAGGTGATGGCGAGTTTAAAACTGAAGTTTTGTTAGTGGCTAAGCTTCAGCACAGGAATCTTGTCAGGCTTCTTGGCTTCTGCTTAGAAAAGGAAGAAAGATTACTCATATATGAGTTTGTTCCCAATACTAGCCTTGATCACTTCTTGTTTGGTATGCTTTGATTTGTTTAGATTCAACTAAAATTGTTTATGATGAAACATGTATTGAACTTTATGCTAACTCCTTGAGTATATCATTTGTGTGCAGATTTAAGTATGCGATCTGTTTTAGATTGGCAAACTCGGTACAAGATTATGATTGGCATAGCTCGAGGAATCCTTTACCTTCATGAAGATTCTCGACTACGAATCATCCATCGTGACCTTAAAGCCAGCAATATTCTTTTAGATGCAGATATGACTCCCAAGATTGCAGATTTTGGTATGGCAAGGTTATTTGGAGTTGACCAAACACAGGGGGATACCAGCAGAATCGTCGGTACCTAGTAAGTTAGTTAATCATGCTAATAAGGACACTTTCCTAGACTTTCAGTATGTGGTCATTATTCCGAACAACTAAAAACTGACATCATACTTTAATTTGGGAAATTCTCTGATTCTCATAGTGAGAAATGAAATTTGTTTTTCATTGAGGCATTTTTGTAAATAAATCAACAACTTTTTCATTATTGTGGGCTCCACAGTTGAATAAAGTTGTTGCTTTATGAAGGTTCAATGGGCACTCAAGAGGGGGGGGGGGTGAATTGAGTGTTAAGTAATCGTTGGCTAATTTTGCTTCTTTTCGGATTATGTGTGAGGAACCAGTTGTGCTGGTTCCCGTACGCAGCGGAATATAAATAAGCAATAAAGAAGACAACAAATTTAACGAAATAAAACAAAGCAATAAAGAACACAACAAATTTAACGAGGTTCAGCCAACTCAGGCCTACGTCCTCCTATCCTAAGTTCTTTATTAATCTACTCCGAAAAACAAAGACAAAGAACACTCTGCTGTTCCCTACTCCGGGAACCAGCAAACCCCACACTCTACTCCGAGTGTGCTCTCGACTTACACTCGTAAGCCCAATGTGTTTGAACTCACAAACACTCACCCAGCCTTTAACCCCTTTGTTAAAGACTCAATACAAAAATCAAGAACTCCCCTTTGATCTCACTTCTACGAAGCTAATTAAGAGAAAAAGTTTAAGTACTAGAATGCTCTTGTATATGACTTGATGAATGGGATTAGTGCTTAAGTATATGCTCTCAAATAATTGCTCTTTTAATTTCTGGAGAGGCACACGAAATATGTGAAATAAGATGAGTTTATATAAGCTTAGATTCCTAAAACCTAGTTTCCTTAAATCACACAATCTTAGAGAATAAGATATAATGTAATTTTAGGAAAGTTTTTATCTTATTTGATTTAATCACAAAGATAGAATCAATTAAGATAAATACTCCTAGATTTTAGGTAACCAAGAATATTTCATCTTATTTCCAGCTGCACAAAATATTTTCAAGATAATCTTTTCGAAAAAATCTTTTTGTAAAATCTTTTTCCAAAACGGCAGCTCGAATACAGTGAACCTGGTTCCCCGACCTGGTTCCCTGAATTGAAACATGTTATGAAACCTGTTCCAACTTTGTACCAGATTTCATATCATACTTCAATATACTTTTAAGCACTTATATAACCCAAACATGCAAGCATACTACGGAGCATATTACATGAAAACCTAGATAACATATTAAAGCATAAATCGTCTTTTCTTCATGTAATCTTCAAGACTTGAATCTTCCTTGAATACTTCTATTATGAGCAAACAATCTTTCTTCGAAATATCTTCGAAAGGCTTCTATGCTCCAAGTCTTGGAATCAACTCAACTACTGCACATGTAACATGGTTAATGCACAATAAAGAGTATGTGACTGCTTTACCACGTAGCAACCATGGAAACAGTACATACTGGTTCCCTACCAGTACATAACACTTTTATCATATAACTGTTCCCTGTATAAAGACAAGTTAGTTCAATAAGAAAACTCATGTAAGTAATAACTTGTCTGGGGAAACAGTGTTCTATGTTAGCTGGTTCCCCCAACTGTATCGAACACTTTCAAGGACCTGTTTCCCTTAGCTGTTTGTCATCATTCAAAACTATCAATCAAAACCTAAGGGACTCAACAAATTCCCCCTTTTTGATGATGACAAACTTTTGAAGTTCCTGAACCTGTGGACATGCTCAAAAAGAAAACCGTCAAAAACTTCAAGGACTCAAAACTCTTTGGAACAAGTCAGTTAGGCTAACTGGTCCCCTAAGCAGAAAATAGAAAATACGAAATAAAAAGACTCAAACTGACTCAATCTCAAACTGACTCAATCTAAACTAGCTAAACCTTAGGCTTCAACTTCAGACTACTTCCCCCTTTTGGCATCATTAAAAAGTATCCACAAGTAAAAGCAATGTGCACAAGTTAATGTGCTTATCCATACAATGGCATCAACCACCATTCAAGCATTATGCTGCAAAAAGAGATTAGTCAAACAGTTCATACCATAGCAGAGTTAGTAGTTCATACAAGCCAACAAAGTTCAACCAAAGAAGCCCAAATCCATCCAAAAAGAAAGTTCATGGAATGGAGAGAAGTAGACAAACCAACAAAATCAGTTATTTTAGAATAAACATGAGGGTGAGGAAACAAGAACAGAAACAGCATCACTCCTCATCATCATTCTCGTTCCCTTCCTCCGCCTCGAACTTTGCAACATCTTCTGTATTATCATCTGATTCCTCCTCATCCTTGTCACCATGCTCTGCTTAAACCAAAATCATTATATTACTAAGCATATTCTTGTGATTCCCCAATCTGTTTCAAAACCACTTCCTGACCTGCTGGTTCCTCTATTTTTTTTTTTTTTTTTTTTTTTTTTTTTTTTTTTATAAATCATGAGAGATATGTACTGATTCAGAATGTTCTCCTTGTTGCATAACGAGTGCAAAACTAGCATCACATCAATCAAGCAAAGAGGTTCTTGCTGGTACCCTTTTTCTCTTGGTTCCTGGAACAGCGTCAATGGACTGTTCCTCCTGCACCTTCTCAGTGAACTTCTTTAATTGAGTTACTCTACTTCGTACCATGGTCTTAGCAGTGGGTGTCTCCTCATAATAACCAACAACCTCTATTTCATCCTTTTCACTTTGACTTTTCTGAATTTCCTCCAACTTCGGGCTTAAGGACATTTATGCTTCCTTCTGATGTTCCCCCTGAGACTGAGCTGGTTCCTTGAGTGAACAGTAACCAAATGAACAATGATGAATTTAAAGCATACGAGAGAGAGAAAGAGAATTTCGAGTGATGATGATTGATGATCTGCACAAAGGGTTAGTGTATATTTTTAACAATGAAGCACAAAGAGAGAAGAAGGAAAGAAAAGAGTTAGTTGAGCCAATAAAAAGCAACTGTAAAGGATATTTTTAAATTGAAATCAAAAATTTGGTAATTATCTTTTACCATAATTATCTCAACCAACTATAAATAAGGCATATGATATGTTTGCCTTTTATATGGGATTAAATAACTGAAATAAGATAAATTCCTTCCAAAAGGATATATCTTATAGTAATCTTCCGAAAATAAAAGATATTATCGGATGACATATCAGAGCTGGTCTGCTGTTTTCCTTTGCTGGTACCTGTATAGAACCATGTCACGCTGTTTCTGGCAATTCAGCCTGATTTCACCTGTTTCTTACAACAATGATTCTCAATCCTTTTGAGATTTTGAACCATCTACACAACACTTGAAAGATATCAACATAAGTATGTACACACACTATACAAGAGAATACCATTCTAACCAATCATTGAAGGAAGTAATTGAAGCCAATACCTAAAGTCTAACTAGACCTAAAAGGACTCTTAACCTACAAAAAGACTCTCTACACAAAGGCTTTGTGAAGATATCAGCAATTTGATCTTCACTTTTACAAAACAACATCTCCACCAATCCTTTTTCCACATTGTCTCTTAAAAAATGGTGTCTTATTTCAATGTGTTTTGTCTTGGAGTGTTGCACAGGATTCTTTGAAATATTGATTGCACTAGTGTTATCACAGAAAATAGGAACACTTTTATAAATAACACCAAAATCTTTCAGCTGGTTCCTTATCCACAGTAGCTGGGAACAGCATGAAGCTGCAGCTATATATTCAGACTCTGCTGTGGATAGGGCCACTGAATTTTGCTTTTTAGAACCCCATGAAATTAGACAAGAGCCAAGAAAGTGTGCCATACCTGATGTGCTCTTTCTATCAACTAAGAAACCAGCATAATCTGCATCTGTGTATCCAATAAGATCAATGGTACTGCCTTTGGGGTACCACAATCCCAGATTTGCTGTTCCTACAAGATACCTAAGTATCCTTCTAACAGCCTTCAAGTGAGATTCCTTTGGATTGCTTTGAAACCTAGCACACAAACCAACAGAAAACACAATGTCAGGTCTACTAGCTGTTAGGTAAAGTAGAGAACCTATCATTCCTCTATAAAGAGAAGCTTCAACATCTTTTCCCTTAAGATCAGCATCTAATTTTGTAGATGGGGGAACAGGTGTATCATAAGCTTTGCTGTTCTCCATGCCGAATTTTTTCAGCAGCTCTTTTAAGTACTTTTGTTGATGGATCATTATTCCATCATCCATTTGCTTAATCTGCAGCCCTAGGAAGAATCCTAGTTCTCCCATCATGCTCATTTCAAATTCACTCTGCATAAGATTAGCAAATTCATCACATAAAACCTGATTAGTAGCACCAAATAAAATATCATCAACATAAATTTGTACTACAATCAAGTGTTTCCCCCTGGTTCTTATGAACAAGGTCTTGTCTACTGTTCCCCTCTTGTAATCATTTGCCATCAAGAAATTGGACAATCTTTCATACCAAGCCCTCGGAGCTTGTTTCAACCCATATAATGCTTTGTCCAACTTGTACACATGTTGGGGGAACAGTGCATCTTCAAAACCAGGTGGCTGCTCCACATATACTTCTTCCTTTAAATATCCATTGAGGAAGGCAGTCTTTACATCCATCTGAAACAGCTTAAAATTCATGTGAGCAGCATAAGCAATTAAAATCCTAATAGCCTCTAGCCTAGCTACTGGTGCAAACGTCTCATCATAGTCAATTCCTTCTTGTTGATTGTACCCTTGCACCACTAGCCTTGCTTTGTTTCTGACTATAGTACCAAGGTCATCTAACTTGTTTCTAAAGACCCATCTAGTGCCAATGACTGATCTTTCCTTGGGACGGGGAACCAGGTGCCAAACCTGGTTCCTCTGAAACTGATTTAACTCATCTTGCATAGCTAGTACCCAATCAGGATCAGTCAATGCCATTTTATAGTCAGTAGGCTCTACATTAGACAGGAAAGAATAGAAAGCACAAAAGTTTTGAAAAACATTTGTTCTCGTTTGAATCCCCTTATTTATATCACTAATTAT